AAATTTATTTTAATGTTTGTACAGTGTTATTTCCTTTCCAAAACTCATAAAACATAATATGAATGATACTACACACAACAATTAACACCTCAATACTAATTCCAGCACTCAAAAAATTATACTGATCTAACGTTTTCAGCCGTCTTTTAGAGGCCCTCCTCAGGATGAAACACAACGAAACAGGAAGGCCTCTAAAAGACGGCCGAAAACATTAGATCAGTATAATTTTTTAAGTGATGGAATTAGTACTGAGGTGTTAATTGTTGTGTGTAGTATTATATAGTTCCAGTTTACTTGAGTTAGTTTTTTTTTTTGTCTGATATATGAATGATACACTTCTTATCTGAAGACATTACAACTTGATTTTATTCAAACAAAATATGGAATAAAAAGTTTAAAATAAGCATATAAACAAATAATTCAATCTTGCATTAGCAATAATGTGTTAAATTTCACAACTATTACAATTATCATACATCTATGTTAAGTAACAATAGTTGTAAAAAATATGCAATAACTTTGTTTAATGTAACATAACCTTTATTTGTTAACTATGGCATCTGAAAAGTGTGTGGAAGCAATGAAGCCTAAGAGGAAGGTTGTAATAATAACAATTGAGGTGAAAAAGGAGCTATTGTGAAGTGTGAAAGCAGTACACTTGTAGGTCTGGTGACCATGTTTGCATGGTGAGGCTGAAATTGACGGTGTGTGTCTAGTAAATGCAATTTTCAATTTATTATACAGTATTTACATGTTTTATTTGTTTTTGTGTTTTAATTTATTATTAGGACATTTAATTATATTGTTTTTTTATTTTAACTTGTGTGTTTGCTGTTTTATCAAAAGGGGTATTGCTTAGGATCTGAGAATAGATTGACTTTCCATTATTTCTAATGCAAAAAATTGATTTGGACGTCAAATCATGTATAATGGCTTTAAATGAAAGTATTTTCTGTTTATTTAAATCTGATTATACTTTTCCTCAAAGAAAATTGATATTGATTGGGCAAAGGCATTTAATATAAGAAAATGTGTTAATTACTTTTTAAAAATTAAGTAATATTGCATGTTTTTAACTTTAGAAATAATACTCTACAAAATTATTTTTATTTACAGTTTATTATGTTTCCAAAATCATAAAATACTAATAATTCATGTGAAATTTAGAAATTAAAACAATTATGACACTTAACATTTTGATAGATTTGATGATAGATTTTGTATAATAATAATATTTTAAAACTTCATACTAATTGCATAAATGTTTTATTGAATTATTTGTTGGTGGTTAGTTTTCAATAAATGTTAAATTCTAAAACAAATTATGTGAATATTTACAATTCAAAACTTTTTACTAAATCAAAAAATTTTATAAAACATGATGGCTACCATTGAGTCATGGTACAACTTTAAAAAAAAATTTTTTTTAGTTTTTTGTGATTACATGACTGCAATTAAGTTTAATTTATTAATTTACCAGTTATAAATCTCTGTTGCTTAAATCATAAATATTGGTATTATATTGTAAAAATTAATGTTTTTCAAAATTTTCACATGCTTTATTAAAAAATTACTTAGAATTGTTTTGTTAGCATGTACTAGATTTTAATCAAATTTTGTACAATTTTTTTTTATCTTAAAACATGCACAAATTTTACTCTTTCAATATATATTCATCTTTATATTAATTAAATCATCAACAATTGTGAGGCAGATAATAGTGAGGGCTTATCAGACCAATGATGGGCACAAATGCTCAGGACTCAAACTGAAAATGTTTAATAAACACATAAATGACTACGTAAGTATGGAAATGAAAAACCCATAATGCATTTTGGACTATTTTCTGATAGAAAATAGTCCAAAATACATTTTGGGTTTTTCTGATAAGCCCTCACTATTATCTGCCTTGATTTTTTTTGTTGTTGATAATTCAATTAATATAATTATACCAAGGGCTAGAAGCAAACTTCTGTAATAATTTTGATATATTCATCTAGCATTAAAAATATTTTCATTTTATTTTCAATAAATTGACTTTCATTATAATTTCAACTTAAGTTGTATTCTAGCAAAATGAAATTAAATTTGTATTTTATCTACACTTATACCACACTCTAACTTTCACTCACTTATTTATCCACTCAATTACTAATTCTTTTTCATTTTATCAGTAATTGATAAATTATATTTGATATAAATATTTTAAAATATATTTTTACTTTGATATAAGTAATGCTATAACAATACTATTTAGACATTATCAAAATGTTAACAGCACAATGTATATGATATGTAAGATGAAAATCTAACACGAGCCTGTTATTTTGAATGTAGGGGGAAATTATTTTTTAGGTAAATGAACTTGAATTATGAGAGATTAGCTTGTCTTCAAAAAAGTAAAAGTAAAATAGAAAGACAATTTCATTCAATTTTCAAAATTATACAAACATAGCATTATTATTTCAACATCATTGTTAATCTTAAAATAAATGTTAGAATAGAAATAAATTAAATGACTCTGATGTAAAACTGAATCAATTTGAATATGAATTGACAAAATGAAAAGTATACATTGATAAAAAAAAAATATACTTCTCAGATTCAGAGCTAACTCAATCAAGAAGCTCAGTGTTCATTGAACCTTTTGAAGGTTTAAGATTTTGAATTTTAATACTTATTACAGTAGTTACTATTATTTGGTGTTATTTAAGATTTTTCTGTATATTTAAGAGCGTTCTTGCAAAACATACTTTAAAAAATTATGTATTAAGTATATCTAACAAACATTTTAAAATTAAAATTCAAGATGATTGACAGAATGATTAGTTGAACAGTATAGATTTCTATTTTGAAAATAAATTAGTGTTCTTGTACTTAGTTTATTTATGAAAAGAAGTATCGTTTAAGAAAGTTCACATAAAGTTGCCTTTATAATCTGAATATATAAATAAAATTTATATAATTTTATAAATTTTCAGTAAAAGTAATAGTCTTAAGAATAATTTTCAGATATGATCAAATTTAATAGAAATAAAATAATGAATTATTTTCTTCAAGTAAATTGAAAAGAAATGAACAGATGAATTACAGTGAAAATTATGTATAAAAATTCTAAAATATATAGTCTTTAAACATGATTTTAAAATGACTGAAAATTTTATGAAAATTTTACACTTTTGTAATTTTTAATTAAAAGTTAAAAAAATTAATTTAAATTTTAAAAAGTTAATTTTAATCCCATTCATACTCCTTTCATCACCATTGTCCATTCTTTCTGTTTCAGATTATTGAAAATACTAGCTTTTTTCTTAAGTAAAATAAGATCCATTTAAGTGTAGATAAAACATTGTCTTTGTACACCCATCATTCCACTTAAGGAATAAACTGTCCATTTTCTCATATTATTTTTACTAATGAATGCACAAAATAAATTGGCATAAAGCACAAATGTTCACAGACACAGTTCAAAACTATGGCTGCTTGATGCTGAATGTAGTTCCCAAAGAAGTGGTTTGGGGAGACACTTGCTATTTGCTGTTTGAAGTGAACAATGTCTCTAAAATGGCTTGCTGCAAAAGAAATCCTAATACTATTTTTGTTTTTTGCCTTTCATAAAAGCAAAAATCCTTTTTGGATTTCTTTTGTAAAAGCAAAGACATAAAGCAAATTTTCATAAAGCAGTGGATACCTGTATACATTTCTTAAAATTTGTAATAAATTTTACAAAATTGCTTTGTTTTGTGACTTTATCTATCTATCACATATAAATTAATTTTTATGATAAAGATAATTAAGAAAAGTATTTTGTATAAATGAATCAGTTGTCTTTTTTATTACTATTTTTGATAGGTATTGATGTAGTACTGTTCATAGTTGCCTACAGGGCAAGCTAATTTGGAAAGTATTCGGAATAATTTATTGATGTATAGAATTGTCTACATCCCTATTTATTGGTATTAGTTTATTTTATCATAATTTCAGTATATTTATTTGAATACATAAGAAAAATTCAAATTCAGAAAATTAAATAATAACCATTGTATAATTATTTCATTATGATTGGTGTTAAACTGTACCTAGTTTTGTCTTGAACTTGCTCATTTTGGTAGTTTAGGCTTTTCTGGTAATGCAGTCAATATGCCATTTTGATAATATAATTTCAGTTTTTGTGAAATTGTCTGCTTCTATTCAAACATATTCAATGAGTAAGGCCAGTTCTTCTGTATATAAATTGCATATTTATTTCAATTAGCAGTAATAACAAAAATCAACTTTATAATTTACTGTTTTTTAATTAATGATTTTGATATTTTTCCTTTGGTATCTTTGAAACCAAAATGTTCTTTATACTAAACTGTAATTATCTATACATACATTTTACAATAATATTTTTAAAAAACTATTAAAATACCTAAATATCTGTCTTTTTTATTAATTATATTTAGATATTACTGATTATGAATAATAATTGTAATTACAGTAGAGCATCGATTATCCGACCCCCGATTAACCGTCACCTCGGTTAACCGACCGCGTTCTAGTCGGCAAATTCAAATGTCCGCTAGTGATGTGGCACTGCAATATTTGGCTATGTCTTGGCTACTTTAATATTATTTTTACGTGTTTTAGCTGGCAACGCTGGCTCGACCATGAAAGGGAGGCCAGTATTTAAATGAGGCTTAATTTTTTAATTTTTAACGACACAATAGCGATGATTATTATTTTTAAAAAAATTTTGTTAGGTTTAACATCGATGAAAATTTAACACGAAGTAGGTTAATAGCGATATACTAATATACAGTACTACACTAATAATGGATTTTTTCGTACTTTTCGGTTATCCGACTTTTCAATTATCTGACCAACCCCAGTCCCCAATTGAGTTGGATAATCGATGCTCTACTGTAATTTTAATATAATGTTAATTTCTTTCTAATTGGTTTGAAATGAAATAATTTTGTAGAAATGACAATTATAATAACAAATTTATTTTTCAGTTTGAAGTGTGATTTTTAAATTGAAACAATGAGAATGAAAAAGCAAATAATCCAATTACTACTAGAAAAAGGATGAATTATCTATAGCAAGAAATAATACAGGAATCATCAACACTGAACAGAAAGGAAACTGAATAATTGTAATGGATGATATAAAAATTAAAAAAAAAGAAAGAAATTTGTAGGATTTGAATTATCAACAAAATGAAAATATATTTTTGATAATGTATGTTCTAGAATCATAGTCAAAAAATAAATTGAATTAGAACAGTCTTATTATGACTGTAGGTGTTTCTCAATGTAAAATGTAATTGAACTTTTAAAATTAAAACTACTAATAATACAGTAAAACCTCAATTTAATGGACAAAATTTCCAGTGTGTGTCATATTTGAAAATTAACACTGTCAATTTTAAAATGCTTTTTCTATGTAATTAAATTAAGAGATTATTTTTCAAATAAAAAAATTATTACTCTTTATGCCACAATGGGAGTGTCTTGATATATCAAGAAAAAACAACTTTAAAATTCTAGCAAAGAAATTTACTAATAAAGATGTTTTGATCGGTTTAACTGATCAGATCTTCAGTTATGATGAAATAGAATTTTGCTGGATTTTTAAAGGTGGGTTTTTCTTGTTGTCTAATTAACCAGTTGATAGAAAATATCTTGATATATCATTATCTGAAGACAAATAAATAGGAAATTTTTGTGTTTTTGTCAATTTTAAATTTTATTTTCTTTTTAAGAAAATTATTTATTTTAGTTAGATACAATTAATAGTGTATTTTCCAAAAGTTATTTATTTTGATTTAGTCATACTTGTTTAGTAGTCTCAAAACTATGGTGTGTATGTAAGCAATAGTAAATATAGAAAAATTTTCAATAAAAATTAAACTTCTCATAATGCTTGATTTTAATCACACAAATATGCCTATATTAATAAAAACAGATAAACTAACTAACTTGTCAAGTTTTTAATGTATGCATTCAGATAACCCACTTCATTATATAATGAACTTTTGACTTTAATGAACACCCCTTGCTTGAATTAGTCTGTTAAATTGAAGTTTTACTGTACTTTATAAATTATATCTGAAATTGTGTGTTCTGTTTTGTTAGTTTTTTCTGCACACTGAAAAATTACATATATAAGTGTTATAATATTACAATAAAGATTTATTTACTGAAAATTTGGATATTGTAGTATTTGTCTTACTCAATGTTATTAATGTTATTATTTCAAGTATTTGTTAAATTGGTAAACATGGCTGAGATTTAGAATATACAATTTTCTAAAAAATATTATTTGGTATAAAGTTTTTTTACAATTCATTTTTCATCGAAAAAAAACAAAAAACCTAAATGTGTGCCAAATTATCTCTTGCTTTCAATATTGTGCTTGTATTCTATTTTTTTTATTTTATTTTTTGTGTGTTTGGTTATATATGTTGCTTTATTTATTGATTTTTAACAATTTCTTCTTGCAGTTTTTCTTTGTTTACAGCTTTTTGGTGTCTTGTACATTGTATCCTTTAGTTCAAAATTTCCCAAACAGAACTTTTTAAATTACATTTGATATGTCCAAACTTTAGGAGCATTTTCCCCATATACATCATAAATTTATTTTAATGTTTGTACAGTGTTATTTCCTTTCCAAAACTCATAAAACATAATATGAATGATACTACACACAACAATTAACACCTCAATACTAATTCCAGCACTCAAAAAATTATACTGATCTAACGTTTTCAGCCGTCTTTTAGAGGCCCTCCTCAGGATGAAACACAACGAAACAGGAAGGCCTCTAAAAGACGGCCGAAAACATTAGATCAGTATAATTTTTTAAGTGATGGAATTAGTACTGAGGTGTTAATTGTTGTGTGTAGTATTATATAGTTCCAGTTTACTTGAGTTAGTTTTTTTTTTTGTCTGATATATGAATGATACACTTCTTATCTGAAGACATTACAACTTGATTTTATTCAAACAAAATATGGAATAAAAAGTTTAAAATAAGCATATAAACAAATAATTCAATCTCGCATTAGCAATAATGTGTTAAATTTCACAACTATTACAATTATCATACATCTATGTTAAGTAACAATAGTTGTAAAAAATATGCAATAACTTTGTTTAATGTAACATAACCTTTATTTGTTAACTATGGCATCTGAAAAGTGTGTGGAAGCAATGAAGCCTAAGAGGAAGGTTGTAATAATAACAATTGAGGTGAAAAAGGAGCTATTGTGAAGTGTGAAAGCAGTACACTTGTAGGTCTGGTGACCATGTTTGCATGGTGAGGCTGAAATTGACGGTGTGTGTCTAGTAAATGCAATTTTCAATTTATTATACAGTATTTACATGTTTTATTTGTTTTTGTGTTTTAATTTATTATTAGGACATTTAATTATATTGTTTTTTTATTTTAACTTGTGTGTTTGCTGTTTTATCAAAAGGGGTATTGCTTAGGATCTGAGAATAGATTGACTTTCCATTATTTCTAATGCAAAAAATTGATTTGGACTTCAAGTATTTGAATGTCTTCCTGGAATGAATTAAATTTGAAATATGAGGCATAACTGTATGTAGAAATATTAAATTTGTTAGTTAATTTTTTTTTACGTGAAACATTTTTGTAATGAAGTTTATCTCTAAGAGATGATTACATAGATATTGAAAAAATTAATTATAAAACTTTATTTTCTGAATTTCCTTGATCTGAAACATTAAAAAACTTACACACAAACTGAAACTGTATACTAATCAAAACACTAATACCTAAATGCTAATTCCAGCGTATAATCTTTAATGTTTCAAACGTTTTCGGCCGTCTTTCAGAGGCCCTCTTCAGGAAAGAATGCAAAAACACACAAAAAAAAAAAAAAAAACAGTTCTATCGTTTGAAAAGCCTTAGCTTTCGAATATAGCTGTGTTCCAATTTTTTAAATGTTCAAATGATGTTCAAAAACAAAGATCGTTACATATTACAACATATAAATAAATTATTTTATTCCAGTTCCACAATCATGGAAGTATTATTTACAATGCCACAAAGCATAACAATAATTTCTGACATCCTTTATACGTTAAAACATCGGGCTAACTTACAATGCCATATATTGTATTATTAATAATTTAGTTATAGCTTTATTTAAAAAATAATTTATTTATATGTTGTAATATGTAATGATCTTTGTTTTTGAACATTGTTTGAATGTTTAAAAAATTGGAACACAGCTATGTTCGAAAGCTAAGGCTTTTCAAATGATAGAACTATTTTTTTGTGTTTTTGCATTCTTTCCTGAAGAGGGCCTCTGAAAGACGGCCGAAAACGTTTGAAACATTAAAGATTATATGCTGGAATTAGCATTTAGGTGTTAGTGTTTTTGATTATTTATATATTGGGATAATTTTTTGTAGAATATTTATGAATAATGTTTTATTTTACCGAATAAATATTTTAAAATTTATTTTATGAACATTATACTCTGATAATATAAAGTATATTCATATTTAACAGTGTAATATACTATCAATATTCTTTACATTGTCCACTTAAATGAGAGTACAATCTTCAGAATAAAAGTACTGACATTTTTGTAGCAAAAATATTTTAAATATATATAAACTTAAGTAGTAACATTTTTTCAGTACAAATTATGTATTCAAATTTTTAATAATTTAAAATTAGATTTAATTGAATAATACATAAATTAATCTTTATAGACTTTTATATTTTAGTTTGTTCAATAACTAATTGTTTTATATTTATATATTTAAAATGAGATGATAAATATTCTGTATTTAGTAAAAAAACTAATGTAACGGATTCATACAAAGCTACGAAAGTTCTCTTGAAAGGAATATACAATGTGCCAATGATGAACAACTTCCAATATATTCCAGGTTTATTTGTTAAATGTAACTACATTGCAAACTGTAAAAATTATAAAGCTATCTTTGGAACTTGTACTGAGTTAAGTTTATCAATTTAATATTAATATTTATTCAGTAAAATGAGAAATCTTTCTGAAAGAAATCAAAACATGAAAATTTTTTAATTATTTTCCTACATTAGTTTAGCTGTTATTTCTTTATAATTTTGTTTACATTTATTGTATGTAAATTATTAAGAACTTTGAATGTTTTTTAAATATTATAGTGAAATAGATACGTGGATTTTACAATTATTTTGCAATAGTATTTTACATATTAATCATATATGATGAGCAGTCAACTAATAACCAAATAATTTTCTTAAATAGTTTGTTTGAAAAATCTGATTGCTAAGCATAAATTACATTACAATACATTTTTTCATTAGGGAGTTTTGTAGTAGTTTCTAGAATAATGCGTAAGAGAGAGTATTCTGTTTCATTAAATAATTTTTTATGCAATACAAATTTTGAGATTATAATGATTTTAATTGTGATATGCTATAATAAATACAGTTGGATTCCCCCAGCCAGAATGCATTGGTATGACCAGCAGATAGCATAAAAAGTATTGATAACTGGTATACGGTATTGGCAGTTGCTCAGTAAAAACATTTCTGTATGTTCAGTCACTATACAAGCATTCTGGCAGTCATTTTTTAGAAAAAGAATATTGATTATAATAATTTGGTTAACTGCATGTCCATACAGTCCATTAACCAATTAATTAGGATCAGTTAAACATTATGTAGCAAGAAAGAATATATTTTTATAAACAGTTACTGAAGGCAGAATCAAAGAATGTAGGTGTAGGAAAGGCCAAAAATTTCATATGTAAACTAACTCATGAACAACCATGACAAGTGTCATTTAAGAAGAAATCTATAGGATTCATTTTTAACATTATCAAACCACCAAATCTAAAGTGTTTCACAATCGTCAATAAAGCAGAATTCACATGATTTAAAAATATTTTAATGGAATTATCCAAGCAATACAAGCATAGTTTTTACTTTTCATTTATTTTTTTTAACCAACTGGCAGGTTCCTTTAAAATTTTCCTATTGGTTTCCTTTACATGTCTCACACACTCTGATTGGCTGAATGTTTATGGATCTATTAGATTTCAAGCACGATTTGAGTGAAAATGCCATAAAATTGATTGTAGAAACTGATCTGTATAATTTTATAGGACTGTCAAGCAACTGCCAAAGTAGAAAATTTGTGATTGTGATATAGAACTACTTCTG